GAAGAAGAACGTTCGAAAAGGAACATTGTTGGCGAAGAAACGAGAGAGGGTTCCACTTGACTACCTTCCCAGGAGAAGTCCTTTGAGAAACCGAAGAGACCGTCGTCGTTGGTCTTCACGGTCTCGGGCGTTTTTTGCGCCGGCTTAATTCTCATCCTTCGGTGTTGCGCCTCGAAAGAGAAGCACGGATAATTTTAGCGAGTCACCGCGTGATGATACTCGTCCGTGTTTCTCACGTACTACCTCCGATGATAGCACCACGTGGTGGTCATTAAAGGCCCGCGAGAGACGCGGAACGCGAGGACAGCCTCCTCTGCGAGAGAGAAATATAATCCTCTCGGTGTCTGCCGACTTGTTTCAAATAACGAGACGCGATTGCTTCCCTGCGATTCGTGGGAAAATCGAGGCAAACTCTCCGGCCCTTGAGAACTGATCGTGGTTCTGAATTGGAATCGCTATCCTGTGAATTTTTCGAGCAGTTCCAAAACGAGAGATTCATAAGTGACGAACGATGCGTTACACGACGATTCAAATTCAATTTAATAAATCCAATTCGACGTGGCCGCGATTCACCGTCAGCCGTGTTCGAATGAACGCAGCTGCGCTGAACGAGACTTGCTCCGGGCTGTCCGTACTCGAGTACTCGAAACTTGCAAATTCATCGTAATAATCATTACCAATGGCAATTCATCACGTTGGATAGACCTCCGGGCGTAGTAAAAACTCTCGACGTGCGACACGATTCTCGAAAAGAAAAGAAAAGAAAAAAAAAGAAAAAGAAAAAGTGCAGGCGTCGAGCAGGCAGTCTTGAACTTTCGTTCGTCTGTTTCGCTTCGAGATTCGTCTGAGAAATGTCGCGATATAAAAATTACGAGCAACGCCACCGCCAGTGGCGGATTCTACGCGCTGCTGGCAAACGAATGTCAAACGAACCTCCGCCGAGAGATGGGGAAGAAACGACGAAGAAACGTCGAGGGCACGAGCCTATCCCTCGGGAAGGGTAAATTACCGCCGTGGGCCAGGACTTCTCGTAAAGCATCGCGCGAATTAAGTAGCCAAGGAAAAGAGAGAATACACGATAGCCAGGCATACATGATCGAAGGTTCTTTTTGGAATTTCAAACGCCTTTCGGAAATGTTGTCAATTTTAAGGAAATGCTTTTCCAATTTGTTGCAAAGCTGGATCCCTGCATATATTTTATCCGCTGTCATAGAATCTTTCGGTTCTTCTTGTTCGCCTTCAAAATCTGTTAAGTTATTGATAATGTCAC